TATGGTCCATTAACCTTTATTTATTTATTTTTTTACATTGTTTTAAATAGATTTTATTAAAATTAAAAATATTCATTGATAATATTTTTTGCGTACATAGATAAATACTTACTTAATTTAAATGGTTTTGGCTTAGTGTTGGAAGTAAATTTACGTTTCTTAATTGCGTTGGTTATCTGATTATTTTAATTGCACGTTTCTGAATAAATATGTTTTTTTTAGATAATTACTTAGGTATATGTTTATTTATTATATTAATAATAATGAGAATTAAGTCAATCAATTTTTTAGTTTGTTATTTCATGAAATCCTGGAGTCCAGCCATACTTGGCTAATACATTATTTTATGCCTAATTATATTGCAAATCGATAGAGATGGGTCACATATTTATCTTTTTTGTTTCACTAGTTAATTATTGTCTATCTACTACTGTGATAGAATAGTATTAAATTATATATGATATCAAATGATTTAGTTTATAATCACGCCATCATATTTTATGGAATTTTCTTTTTTCCGTGTTTTTTTTTGTTTTTATGACGGTAATATGTGATTGTAGCATTAGCTTAGATTGTCTGTTGTTTTAACTCTTAGAAAAACCATTACAAATAACTGAAATAATCTCTAGATTTTGTATTTTTTTAAATGATCCGATTTAAATAATCGGACAACTTTTATGAAACACGAGGCGTGTTATAAATTAATAACTAATTATGTTGATTTTGAAAAGTAATCTTCGTAATTAAATACATAATATTGAAATTAAAAAAAGTAATTTAATCTAGAAAAAGTGACATATATTATCCTTAAAACCCGTAATACCTGATATGTCAAGATTAAAATATAAGGCTGCCAAAATGATACAAACAAATTGTATTTTTTTGGAATATATTTTTCAGCAGTAAAAAACATTGTATTATTTTTTCATCTATCCTATAGTATACAGAGTGTTTCAGAATAAAGTACCGTAAACTAGGGGACTTGTAGATCTTAACTAATTTTTAAAAAGAGTTAATTATAGTTTTCCTGTAAGCGTCCCAGTTTTCATTCTACAGGTTGATAAAGTGAATTTCATGAATATTATCTTCCCTCACAATAAAGACTTAAAAATATGTATTTGTTAGTTAATGACCATTATTAATTATTACACTTTATTTTGATAAATTACGATAACCAATTGGCGTAGAATCAAAGGTTAAGAAAACAATTTTGATCCAAACTTTTTAAACTCCATATTTTTCATAAGAGTTAAGATTTTACAAAGATCAACAAAGAACCTCTTTTTTGTGACAAATTGTGAGAGGAATAATTATGAATTTTAACTTTTATGAAATATAGGGTGTTCAAAAAGTTTGGATTCAAATTTTTTTCTTAGCAATTGATTTTACGTCAACGGGTTATTGTAATTTATTTGAATAAAGTGTATTAATTAATAATGGTGATTAACTAACAAATTCATGTTTTTAAGTTAATATCTTTACCATAAGGAAAGTGTATATATACATTTTGTGTTCTTATTTTTTTTGTTTTGTTTCTTTATTTTTTATTTTTTTTTTAATTTTTTTTTTAATTGAAGGAAAGTGGATAAGGTAGAGACAAGGACACTTTTACCCCTAACGGTCGTTCTAGGCGATTTATACATGTACAGGTAGACCACGGTTTGTAATTTCCCTTGACTTTGTGAGTTTGACTTATTTGTAATCCTTTACCTATAAGGTTTATAACAATTTTAGTTTTAAGTTTTAGAAGGTTTTGATGGCTGCCCTTGGCTTTTAGACCTTATGATGATCCTCGGGTCGAAGCAGGGAACCGTTTTATAATTTAGTAGGTATTAATATTTATGCGGTACATATTTTAAGTATTATTTATATCTACGATTTATAATAACAATTAATATTCGATCCCCAGTTATTAAACAAAAATTTATATTTTCCGTTATAAAGTCTACAGGTAAAATATTATTCATTTCTTATTATCCCTATATTTGATATTGCACATGGTAACGGTCAGTGTTCTTCAAAAATGCCTGACATTTTATTTATACCCATTATTACTGGATTCAATTATAGGAAAGTGATACATATCGCAATGTTTAGTTTTCTAGAAAGTGTCCTATATCAAACATGTGTGGATCTGAATCTACATTCCGACCATTCTATGAATTGTCTATATTGAAAGTATAGAAGAAAAATCGATTTGATTGCTTTTTAAACAAATAAGAATGTATTTTCTTCAAAATATAAAAATGCTTTTATCGAGAATAGAACCACAGTTTCGTAATCAAAATCCGAACATAGAACCACCCAGTCGCAGGAAAAATATTGTTCCTATATGATTTGTGCGATTTTTCAAACTCGTGTGAGTGTCGCACTGGGCTTAGAGGCCTCGGTTATGGCGCGGATATTTCGGTTCAAAAGCTAACTAATCGACTATAAAAACGTATCGGAATTTTCAATCCTATTTACATAGAAATAATCAATAATGGTGTTTATTTTTACAAGAAAACATTGATTCGTCCATTTAGTTATTAATTTAGAAAAAATGAAGATTAAAAAAGCATTATTTGAGAAAATTTCCACCTAAAATCACCTTATAGAATAACTACTCATTGTTACAATGGTGCTAAATACTATACCACGAACCCCGAAGGCGAATATTTTTAAAAGATTTCTTTTCTTTTCGTATTACGTAGATAGGTTTGTATTTTTTACATTTTTAGTATTGTCTATTCTTGACTTATTTAACTTTTGCGGACGTTTGTAAATTAGAATCTGCTTTCATAAATCCAGGAATCATGTTCAATACTTAAAAAAAATTAAAAAACAGAAATAAAAAAACTGTATGGATTAATTTTAGTTTCATACTGACATATATACATTTATTGATGCATGGTCTCAAATCAATACCTAGTAAGTCCAAAATTTCGATTTTTTTCCATCCATACAAATTAATTTAGAACAAAATTTTAAAAATAAAGAAATAACCATGTTCATAGGTTATTTATATATTTATTTACTTGTCAACATTTTTATTAAATAATTAATTGGCTTTATTAGGCAATCAAGACAGTTTTATTGTTCCTCCTCTAAAATGTTTAATTTGGGAGGTATTGATTTGAGACCGTCGATATGTAGTTTCTGTCCCTTGGTTTATTAGGGGATATAAACATGCTGCAAATACTTTAAATGCACGGGATACCACCTAAATGAAATCAAAGGGTTTAGGTTTGCATACTTTACTGCAGATAAATATTCTAATCATATTTAATTACAGACACATTTAAAAGAATATATTTGTTTATTTGCCCTTTAATATACAAAAATCTATATAAGTAAAAAATATTGTATTGGAATTTTTATTATTGGCTTGACTAGAAATTGGCGGCCTTATGTGTAAATGTTGCTTAGGCACCGAGTTAGCCACCCCTATAATCAAACTTTAACAGGGTCAGAATAAATTTATTTTTATGATTGCTAAATTTCTAAGCCTAAATCGGGCTTGGTCAAACGATCAAACAGAGCAATTAAAAATGTTTTTTGAACAGAGCACCCTTCGGGGCTAGTAGTTGTAGTTACGCCCCTGCCTCTTATTATTCCCGTGAAGAGGAAATTTTAACGATTTTTTTTTGGGTTTCAACGTTTTGTATATTAAGTCTGTTTTTTATTTTAATTTTTAATCCAAAACCAAGTCAATAAATCTCAGAATATTTATTACCTAATTAAAAACAATTTATTAAAATTTTTGTAAAATACTCTATTCCGCATAAGACCAACCTACCTATTTTACAGTAAAATAATATTATGTATTAAAATCAGGGTTGGCAATGAAGTTGGCAAGTACATGTTTTTTGCAGCTAGGTTTTTTTAGGGTTTTAAAAAAAACTTAAAAGTTAAAATTATAAAATTCTGTAACTTTAGATTCTTTAAGTTACATATTAAGAATTCATAATTTTACTAATCAACTCTCGGGAGAAAGGGTACGAAAATTAGTGTACTACAAATGCAAATATTACATCAAAGCTACCACTTCTTGATATTGACATTAATGATAGTGACAATTTAAAATAAATACAAAAAAAATGAAAAATAAATAAATGATTTTTAATTTTTAATTTTTTTTATTTGTTTGCTGATGCGATTTTTTTAATAGGTACCTATAATACCATTAAATTTTTCTAGTTTTGCTTCATTAATAATAATTTTGACATACATGAACTAAAAACCTTAAAAAACGAATAATAAAACCTTTAAAAACCTATACGACCTTAAAAACCTAAAAACCCTCGTAAAAACCTACTTTTATATTTCTTAATTCTTAGGTTTTTTCCAACCCTGATTAAAATAATAGGTAATTAATGCAGTTTCAATTTATTTTTGACTTTTATTAATTATATTAAAGTTTGACATTTTTTCTCTTGTCAGGTAACAAAATGTCACTTTTATGACATTTCTTTTTTCCCCGTTTCCCGGGAAAAAGAGAGTACTTTTTTCCTGGATATTTAGGTTCACCTAAAGGTAGATATTTTAGAATATTTTTTTTAACATTAAATAGTCGTTTTCTCGTCAGAGAAAAAAATACCTAACCTATACACGGGAAAAATATTAAGATTTTAGCTCTCAGTTTTTTGTAATTCTAATAATTTTTTCCCTTGTATAATAAATAACTATTTATTTTAAATAATTAAATGAAAAATATTAGTGAAATCATTATTTAATGTCATTCGTCTAACACATGTATGTTCAAATTCTTGGCTGTGATTGGCCGATTCTGAAAGCGCAACAATATCAGCCGATGCAATTATCTTATTAATTTTGCAATAAAATATGAACGAGCAAAAACACTTGTATATTTTAAAGAAGAATATCTACCTACCTACTTAAAAATAAAGAAACAAATACAATACCTATTTGACTTTTTAAATATAGCGATAACAAAATAAACAATAATTTTAGAAATAATTTTTTTGGCACGGTTTAAAAATATTAAATTAAAAACTCACCTCACAAAATCAGATACAGATTTCACAAAATTTAACTAAGTTTCAAAAACACATAAAAGTTAATCCAATGTCAAAAGACACAAACAAAAACGTTTGGCAGAACGGCACAGTGAATTACGCTAACAAATATACGATTTTCGATGGTCCCTAATTTCTTGAGTACTAAACAACGTACTTGTACTGACTGACCATCCAATTTTGTGTTATGAATTTATATATAGGTCAAATAAGGTATCCCGATCAAATGACACGCATCAAACTACAGCCGGCAAAGTTGTGAAGAAATCCACGTGGTCTCTCCAAGATCGGGGTTCAATGAGTTGGCCTAGACCGTGGCTCTGGAGTTCCTTACGCGAGCAGCGTTGCAAAATTGTACATGATTTCTGTATTTCTGTAAATATTTGCAAAGCTTAAAGAACATCATAGGTAAAACAATTCCAGTATAATACCGAGACTTTTTTAATCATCAAACATTTAACTATCTGTTTTGTGAAAATATCTAAACATCATTCAAATTGTGTACCTAGATAATTACATTATTTTTTTAAAGTACCTAAGTAAAATAACTTTTACTTAGATATATTTTTATTAGGTAGAGAAGGACATTCTATAGAAATATATATTCGGCGGCACAATTAGACAATTATATTTAATCGTGGAATCGTAAAATTTATCTGTGCCACAAACTATACCTATGCAAATAAAACACAAAAAAAGAAAAATAACTCAAATGTGATAAAGACGTAAAATAAAATAAATAGGTAAATCACGAAGCCCTATGTCACACAAAATTCGAGCGAGCGTTTCCCTTCGGAAAACAACTACTCCTTTGACTACCACGTTATTCACCAAGTTGAGACGTCTATGTTGCATGATACGTAATAATGTCTAAATATCTAAATGCATTTGGATTGCTATTGGAAAGTATTGGTATAGGAATAGGAACATTTGCTTTTTATTTTATATTATGTAATTACAAATGCGTGCCACACGACAAAAATTTCTTACGTTAACGATCTAATGTAATAATCGCCTTTTAATATAAGAGTTCGTTACAATATTTTTTCGACGACCGAATCTCTATTAAAATGAAAATAATCAGGCTTCAAATTTCGTATAAATTTCCATGTTTGATTTGACAGTGTCAATTTGCTTATACTGTTACAAAAATATTAATTATGATAGTACAATTCAAGTATAGTCAAAGATAAACCAAAGTAGACCATTAATGCCCGAAAATGTCATAGGTAGGTACTTTATAATGCCACAATGAATCTGCACTAGGTAGGTATTAAATAGTTTTTGTACCAGTTTTTTTGCTTCTGAACAAAATTATTTTATTGATTAAACGATTTGTGTAGTTGCTCTTTTATTTACAGTATTACATAAGAAAGTACTATTCCAATTAGTATGAAAAATCCTGTCATTTTTTATTTAGGAAAAACTCAAACGATAGTTTGGCAACGTTGTGCGAATCCGTCACAGTCGCGCGGCTTGCTAACATCAGTCCAATTGTCCAATTCAGTTACATCACACCACACGGTCTTGCAAAGGTAGGTACACGCTTTCATTTGCTAAGTCGGTGGCGTGATCCTAAACTCTACCCCACCACTTTTCTCTCTTTGTTTTGTTTGTGCGAAAGGAGTAGTGTTTCCGACGGCTGTGGTTCATAAATGTATCTAAGTGGACATAATATTGAATGAAGTAATAATTTATATTCTAACATGAATGGAGTTTAAAAGGGTTTTTTTTTCAAAGATGAGTAATCCACTAATCTACAGGTGATGTTTTAGCTGTTATCACCGCGAAATATATCAATATTCTAGTACTTGTTTTCTCACTAGATATAAACGTAAATGAAAAAAATATTTTTGAGAGGATTGATAGACTAGGAAATAAATTCAGATTGCTAGGTAATACGGATTCATTTCTGAACTAGATTTGTTTTGATAATCATAAAAAGTTTCTTGAAACTTTGTACACAATATAGTTTTGAATATATTTCGAAATATATGTGAAAATGCTTGTGACAATCTAGACGAAGAACCCTTTGTTTCCCGTTGGTTTAGGAAAAAGCCTTAATGCCGTGATTGATGTACTTAATTAGTATAGGTAGGTACCTATTACATTAGGAGTTTAAAAAGTCACTTTTATATAAATATAGTGTTTTACGGATGGTGTTTTGTCGTAATTAAAAATATTTTAATTCCATTTACAAACACTTTCATAGGATGATAAAAGACAAATAACATTATAGGTAGGTACAAAAAATATTAGAATTAAATAATGTTTATTCATTAGTTTATTTTTACTTTCCTGTCTGTAGACAGAAGGAAAGTATAGGAATCATGATTTTTTCGATCCCGAGTTTTCGACGGATTTTTACGTTGGGGTCCCCCGAATCCGTTTTGACTATTTTCGCGATAATGTTTGTGTGTGTCTGTGTGTCTGAACCTACGATAACTCAAAAACAGATAAAGCACTAAATTTTAAATTTAAAAGCTTTAATTCATCCTCTAGTTGTTTAGATTTTAGGCATAGTCGGAGCACCTGGGGGTACTTTTAGGGGGTCATTTTTCTATTATAAGGAATATATTTGTTAATTACGATTGGTGAAGAAAATTTTTCAAATAAATGTTGCTTGTAATATCATTATCTATCATTTTTGTTATATACATTTCACTGAAATGGTCGGTATTCGAAAAATTTGAGGTAAAGTGCAAAATTCGAATTTTTCTCATTATTTTCTCTTATAATAGTGCCTAAACTATTTTCGGATTTTTTTTTAAACTCACAAATGTTTTGAAAATTATCCTGATATTTTTCTATTAAATTTTTGTTCTATAAATGATTTCTCTAAAATGGATCGTATTGAAAAAATTTCTTAGTATTTTCTGTGGCAATGAATATATATATATATATATATATATATATATATATATATATATATATATAAAAATCATCCTCTGAAACTCTAAACATTTACAGGGGTGATACAATAGGTTGTACAGAATAACCGAAAAAGCATATAATAACTTTAGGTAAGACGAGAAGTCATGTGTTGGACACATCAGATTTTTTATATAACAGATATATAAGATGAACAATGAACAAGAACTTTTTTTTATTATTTTACTGAATAGTAATTAATATAAAAAATAAATAACAAAAATATTACCGGATTTCCTAACTGTGGGGTTTATATATTGATAAATACAACGTATTAAAAATAAATAAACAACAATGGACGTATTTTTTCAAAGATTGTTTCTCTCGGGAAGTGAACTCCCGAAAATGTTGGCATTTCATAATTTCTACTGATTTCGACTTTTGTAATTTGTTACTTTAATAGTTTAACTTCAAGATAGAATGTATTAAAAGAAAACCAAAATAAAAAATGTAAAAAAGTACTTCGAATTATATAATTGAAATCAAAACTTTTAGAATACTATATTCTGTAATAAATTTGCCGAGGAATTAAAAAAAAAGTAAATTTATTTCATCTAAATCCTCACCATTATTAACAAATAAATTTTATAAAAAATCCTTTATTTAGGCTAAGATTATAAATAAATAAATAAAAACTTCGATTGAAGAAATTGTGACTCGCTTTACATAAAATAGTTATCATTATTTTTATTTTTATTGCTTGACGTAAAATAAATGTCAGTTTGAAGTTAAATGAACGCAAAGAGAACTTCGGCTTAGTTTTTAACCTTTAGTTATTTACGTTGTGATCAGAAAAACAAATGTGTAACTTAAGTGACACTTAAAGTTAAGGTTTACCTAAGAAAAGTGGTGCAAAAGGCCCTCAGTATTTCTAAATTCTAATCTAATAATCATTTGTCAAATTTTTAATAGTTTGTGTATTTGACAAGATCTTGGTAGATCAAATTTGACGTTTTTGATTTATGGCAGTTTGAATTTTGATTTAAATGCTTTAATACCCTGTATCTCGGCAACTAAGCTCTTTAAGGATTCATGTTCCTGTATCAAAATTCATCAATTAACGAGAGCTCTCTGTGGTAGAGCGTTGTTGGTCGAATATACTATAATACCCTGTATATAAAGGTAATTGTATGACTTATATAGAGGTACATACATTGAGATAAAAGGAAATAGAAAGTACCGACTAATATGTATCGTTAGGACATATTTGTTCCGAACAGTATCAGTAAACGCGAACGTGAGTTGTTACTGTAGTTAGAAAATGAACAAATATATTATAAGGAAGGTTTTCACCTTAAATATTTAAATGTTCCATTTTAATAATTATTACCTTCAGAATTGTGATGTTAAAGCTACCATTTCGCAAGCAGAGACAAAGACCGACTTCAAAACTCGCCGCGACACTAAACCGTCGCTTCACGTCTGAACCCATGTAATTATAATAAACACATTTTGGTAGAGGCGACAGACGACATCAGATTTAGTATGGCAATATTTGCCGCTTCACTGGTGTCTCGGTCTCCTGTCGCGGGTCGCGCGTTCCCAAATGGTACCTTTAAAGCCGTTTTTTGTGTTTTTGGGGGACTGAATAGTATGCCAATTTCATCACTAAACCTTGATATTTTTGTATTGTTATTGGAAGGACATAATCCAAGCATTTGCGATACCAACTCTCTTAAGGAGTAGCGGGACCTTCAACCAGTTGCCAAATTAAAAACTTCCACCGTTCACGTTAGTTGTTTACTGGGTGATATTTTATTTATTTTTGGTTGTTTTATTTTTGTTTCTTTAGCCACTGGGTGAGCCGATGATCTCTATAATCCCTTCCTCAAATCAAGGCAGATGACTCAAAGTTTAAACTAATCCACGTTTGATGACTACTTTGTATGAAATTGTCCTTTTGGATCTTGTAATATCACATTTGGGGACAGCTGTATTTGTGATAGTAGTACTTGTGACTTGTGACAGCACTTGCTTTTGTTATATTTATTATACTATTTAGACCAATTGCAGAAAGTCAAGTGACGTTAGTTTTGAGAAAAAATAAAAGTCAGTGAATTACTTGAACCCACGATACACAAATATCGGTATATTCTTGCGCATGTTAGCTCTATCTTTATCACATGATATAACGTCACGTGGCATAAAAATTCTACGCATCTACGTAGATAAATACAAGTAAAGAGACGTTTTCGATAATAAAAAACTGTAACATTATTTTATTCATTCAAAAAATCAAACCTCTTTAAACTCTTC